GTTACAAGCAGCNCTTTGATATACACTAACTCTCATATTCAGAGACAAGCTAGCGGACATCATCACCACCGCCCCGAGAGAAGCACAGCGACACATTAAGAGCACTAGCCCACCCGACCATTGGCCCACAGCAGGACATGTAGAGGTGCGTGACATGGTGCTCACTTACGGCACTCATCTGCCGCCTGTGGTGGATGGCATCTCTTTCACTTGTCTGCCAGGTGTGTTTGTGTTTTCATGTGCGCCTCAGCTGTTTTTGGTCTACTGCTCTTTGTATGAAGTGTTGTGGCTTTGTGCTGTTGTACGCCATACAGCTGCCCCTCTCTTTTGTTATGCTATCGGGCGTGTCTGCTTGTGTGCTGCATCTGCGAGCGTGTGTTGTGTTTGGCATTGAGTTGTGGTGCGTCTGCTTGTGTGCTGTATCTGCGAGCGTGTGGTGTTTTTGGCATTGAGATGTGGTGCGTCTGCTTGTGTGCTGCATCTGCGAGCGTGTGGTGTGTTTGGCATTGAGTTGTGTGCTGCATCTGCGAGCGTGTGGTGTGTTTGGCATTGAGTTGTGTGCTGCATCTGCGGGTGTGTGGTGTGTTTGGCATTGAGTTGCGTGCTACATCTGCGAGCGTGTTTTGTGTTTGGCATTGAGTTGTGTGCTGCATCTGCGAGCATGTGGTGTGTTTGGCATTGAGTTGTGGTGCGTGTCATGATGCCCTCTTGTGTCACTCCACTGCCGTCTGTAGTGGATGATCTCTCTGCCACTTGTCTGTCCGGTGTGTCCGTGTCTGTACTGCAGCTTGCATGAGTGCATCCTTGTGTTCTGACTTGGATTGTTGTATGAGTCATGGTGCTCTTCTAGCGCACGCATCTGAAATCAGGTGGTAGGTGGGGGCCATGGGTTACATTGATATATTGCATTGGTACACACCTGTGTGCAGGTGAGAAGATTGGGATAGTAGGCACGACAGGCGCGGGCAAATCGTCGATTGTGCTGGGGCTGTTGCGTCTTTTAGAGCTGAGCAGTGGGAGTGTATTGATTGATGGCGTAGACGTGGCTCTTCTGGGCACCCACGACCTTCGCTCACGTCTCACTGTCCTCTCGCAGGTGAGGTGTACGTTGCTACATACAATGGTCGTTTGCAATGCTTCCAAGCGCATTTGCCTCTTATCAGCGCAGCTATGTATATATACACAAAGATACTATTTACAGTGTGTACTTAAATAGCTGCCAGATGCAGCTGTCTGGCTTATATTCATAGACTCTGATCGCTCTGCGATACATACCACGTTTGCATTGTGTTTCTGTTGCATCCCGATTCCCTACCGTTCACCCAGCAGTAACACTACGGTCCGTTCTCCATATCACTGTTAGGCATGTTCGTCGCACATTCGTCGCATATTCGTCGCATATTCGTCACGTATTCTTCTATCACGCCTGGGACACGTTTGTGTGTTCCTCGTGCTGCGTTGCTGCATCCTGTGCGTCCGTTTGTGGTCGTTTGCGTAGTGGTGACCTATTCCTATTCTTCGGGAAATTTAGGACCCATTCTTCTTCAGCGGCAAACTGAGACGTAACCTGGATCCTTGCAGCGTGCACTCTGACGACGAGATATGGACTGCATTGGTCCGCACACAGCTATTCGAGCTGGTATGTGTAAGCAGACATGCGCAAATGGTTTGCAACTTTGGTAACTGCTTTGTAATCCAGTGGTGCGAGAGTTCACCATTTAGTAGTGTGAGCGTGTTCCATACGCAAATGCTTTGCAGCTTTGGTATCTGCGTTGTGATCCAGGAGTGCAAGAAATTACCGTTGACTAGCTGTATGAGAAGTGTATGTTCAGCTGTGGTGTGGCAAGGGTTTACGCGGCACCGCATCAGTTATTGCTCCAGAAGTGGCTGGAACTGTATTTGACTCTGCCATAAGCACTAATAGGTCCGCATATATATCCACACCTGTGATTCGTATTTATATTCCCCCATACCAGTCTACTTGTGGCATAGGATATATTTCGATGATGCCAAAGATTCACGGTCGGCTACAGTAGCACGTCGATTCCGTTGTGCAAAAACGGATCGCGCGACAAAGATTTATCTCCCTGCGCGTCCTTCCAATTTTTACCACAAAAAAAAATTGATAAACACACATATTGGCTAACCACCCCATTGGATAATGAGGTGGAGCTAGGATGTAACTCTACATCAATCATCACACAGACATTGGTTAACCACACCATTGGTTAACCACCCTATTGGATAGTGAGGTGGTGCTAGGATGTTACTCTACATCAATCATCACACATACATTGGTTAACCACACCATTGGTTAACCACCCCATTGGATAGTGAGGTGGTGCTAGGATGTTACTCTACATCAATCATCACACATACTTTGGTTAGCCACACCATTGGTTAGCCACACCATTGGTTAACCACACCATTGGTTAACCACACCATTGGTTAACCACACCATTGGTTAGCCACCCCATTGGATAATGAGGTGGTGCCAGGATGTTACTTTACATCACTTCGTCATTAATCCACCGTCCATGTAATGTCACACATAGTCGACCATCGATTTATCGCTTCCCCATCAATGCACCACGCTTGTGATGTCAAAACGTTCATGCAGGGCTGTGTCAAACACAACTCAAACCCCGGCACACATCCCATCTGCATATACAGATTCACGCACTACCCCAACAGCTCGACAGCCATATCACACACACGGGAACACCGTTTAGCGCCGGTCAGTTGCAGCTGCTGAGTCTCGCGCGAGCAATGCTCAGTGACCACAGAGTAGTGCTGATGGACGAGCCAACGGCCAGTGTGGATGCCATGACAGACGCACTGATTCAACGGGCCATTCGAGTGCACTTCCAAGCAGCCACTGTGATACAGGTAACGCTCGGAATGCTACGTGTGCTTAGCCTTGTAGTTAGTATTGGTCTTACCGTCTAGAGATAAGGTTCACCCCCGCTGCTTCCCTACTTTCATGCTTCTCCCCTTATGCCTGGTGTGGCTCATGTCTGTCGCATTATGAATGGTGGTTCACCCCAGGTATGACCCATGGTGATATGCCAGCTGCAACTGGGCAACCAGATGGAGATTCAAACAGCGTTTGGCTCTAGGTTGTTGTAGTCATACAATCGTACATATATCTGCAACCCAACTACTACTTTGCCTACAGAAAGACCTTGTACTTACACTCTGCGTTTATGTACCTGGTTGTACCCTATTGTCTGTGTAGTAGGTGTATTTGCCGCAGCACTCTTGTCCTGCGATGACTTATCGGGACTTTGCTTTCACTTGCGCAGATATCTCACCGGTTAGATACGGTTGTAGACAGCGATCGCATAATTGTTATGGACAATGGCCGCATCGTGGAACAAGGGTCACCGACCACTCTCTTGCAGGACACAGCATCCTTGTTCTACGGACTGGTGCATCAGTTTGGGGCTGAGTTGATCCACAGATCTGAGGCTGAAGCTGTCGGTGAATATACCGGCCATCCTGCGGTTATAGATGGTACACCAGTAAAGAGTACTCAGTGAATCAATCGAACGATTGATATCTCACCTATGTCACCACGGGAAGAGCAACATTCCTTTCACGTCTACCATATTTAGCAATTGAAAGGAGAGCGGGGTTTGTTTAGGGCATACACTGTCACTCTACAGCACAGAAACCTAAAACACTCGCCTCGTGTATGCATGGGAAAAGCTAGTAAGTACTTGTCAAAATTGCTCAACTCTGTATGACTATTAACCCAGTGAAGGAGCATCAAGTGAAATGTCTATTAATACTATTCACCGCTGTATGATCATCACCCTAGTGTAGCATCATCTAATAACTGTATATCATAACTGCTCCACACTCTATGGTCACCACCCCAGTGCAGGACCACTAAGTAATGTGCATATTATTTTAATTGTATACTTATATATATATAGGTTGTTTCACTCTAATCCGTTCGTGCACTAAATTAGATACTCACAATCAATCTAAAAAAATCACCCCTCATACAACCGAACCATCAAGCGGGCATCAGACACAATTAAGTTCTGCACATGACGCCCTCAAGCTCACTACTATCTGTGGACCACACCCATAT